TTAACCCACTGAGCCACCCAGGCATCCCTGGAACAAAATAAATTTTAAAACACTAATCTACACTGCATTATAATTACTTTTAGTTTTGCTTTTAAAAGTAAGAGATTCCAATCTACCTTTATTTTAAAACAAAGGCATGGCAAATGTTGACAGCTAATGAAAATATTCTATTAAAATGCTCTTTAAAAATACCACTAATGTCATGCATGAAGAATGATCACTCTTATGTTAATGAAATCTAAATGCTCTGCTTTCTTACAACTGACTATAATATTTGAGCTAGAGAGAAGTATAACACAGAAAACAGAAGAGAATTCAAAGTCACCCAAATAATTTTATAATGTGGAATATTACTGATTCTTAGATGATCTATTTTTTAAATTTTACATGACTTTCACTGATTTCTAAATTTCTGGTCCGCAAAGATACTTGAGCAGAAGGAGCCATCCTAGGTGCCTTTGGAATAGCAGGGGAAGCCAACTTGGAAAAAAAGTTACAACATACAATACATAAACGGGGCGCCTGGGTGGCTCACTGGGTTAAGCCTCTGCCTTCGGCTCAAGTCATGATCCCAGGGTTCTGGGATCGAGCACCACATCGAGTCTGCTTCCTCCTCTCTCTCTGCCTGCCTCTCTCTGTCAAATAAATGAATAAAATCTTTAAAAAAAAAAAAAAAAGAAGAAGAAGACTTTAAACTATGTATCTGGGGGCACCTGGGTGGCTCAGTGGGTTAAAGCCGCTGCCTTCAGCTCGGGTCATGATCCCGGGATCCTGGGATCGAGCCCCGCATCAGGCTCTCTGCTCAGCAGGGAGCCTGCTTCCCTTCCTCTCTCTCTCTGCCTGCCTCTCTGCCTACTTGTGATCTCTGTCTGTCAAAGAAATAAATAAAATCTTTAAAAATAAATAAATAAATAAATAAATAAACTATGTATCTGTTCATACTGTGGTTTTTTAAATGTTAGCTATTTGGGAACCTAAGGATTCTCACTCTCTTCTCCCCTCCTGAATTGCCTTGTTTCTGCATCCTGTTCCATGCACTTCCACGCCCCTCCTCGGGCCCCTGTTCACACCAGGGAACCTACTCGGTGCAGACACTTGCTGAGCACCTGCTGTATGCCAGCTGCTAGTTAGGGCATGACACAAAGGTAAGTAGGGTAAGTACCTGCCTTCAGGGAGCCTGCAACCTCAGAAGGAGACAGAAGAGGAAACAGGTCATTTTCAAATAATAGGGTACATACAATGGCAAAAGTATAATCCACATAATCTACCACATTGTATTTTAGCTATTTTTCCTTCTCTCTTCCCACCTTTCTCGAAGTCACAAACCTCTGATGATACAGGCACTAGGCCCATACTCATCTTTGGATCCTCTGTGCTGAGAAAGGATCCCATGTGATGTAAACTTCATAAATATCTCCTGAATAGTAAATGCAACAATACTTTAAGAAACATGTTCATAATCCAAATGGCCAACAGACACATGAAAAAGTGCTCCACATCACTCGGCATCAGGGAAATACAAATCAAAACCAGAGTGAGATACCACGTCACACCAATCAGAATGGCTAAAATTAACAAGTCAGGAAACGACAGGTGTGGGCGAGGATGCGGAGAAAGGGGAACCCTCCTACACTGTTGGTAGGAATGCAAGCTGGTGCAGCCACTCTGGAAAACAGCATGGAGGTTCCTCAGAAAGTTGCAAATAGAGCTACCCTACGACCCAGCAATTGCACTACTGGGTATTTACCCTAAAGATACAAACGTAGTGATCCGAAAGGGCACATGCACCCGATGTTTATGGCAGCAATGTCCACAATAGCCAAACTATGGAAAGAACTTAGATGTCCTTCAATAGATGAATGGATAAAGAAGATGTGATACATACACACACACAGTGGAATATTATGCAGCCATCAAAAAAAAAAAAAAAACCAAAACTTGCCATCTGCAATGACGTGGATGGAACTAGAGGGTATTATGCTAAGTGAAATAAGTCAATTGGAGAAAGACAATTATCATATGATCTCTCTGATGTAAGGAATTTGAGAGGCAGGGCGGAGACTGTGGGGGTTAGGGAGGGAAAAAATGAAACAAGATGGGATTGGAAGGGAGACAAACGGTAGGAGACTCCTAATCTCATGAAACAAATTGAAGGTTGCTGGGGCCTGGGGTGTTAGGGATAGGGTGGCTGGGTGATGGACATTGGGGAGGGTGTGCTATGGTGAGTGCTGTGAATTTTGTAAGACTGATGATTCACAGACCTGTACACCTGGAGCAAATAATCCATTATATGTTAATAAAAAATAAATAAATAAAATTAAAGTAGTTGATCTTAGAAACAAAAAAACAACAACAAAAAGAAACATGTTCATATCTATCTTAATGTTTCAAAACAGTGGTCAATAAATATGTCCAACTATTAACCGGGACCTCTGTAGTGTAGTATAATCTTAGAATTTCAGAATAAGTATCTTTAACCTCAGAAGTCCTATGATCTTTCAGTCCTTAACATGTAGTCTTGGCTTTTATTCCATAAAGGGGGGAAATCATGAAAGCTAAGCCTATCTGTTTCTTTTTCTGGAAATCAAAGGATCCTTGCTTGTTTTTACTAGCAGGACTGCAAACTTTCACCCACTAAGTTAAAATTTCTATTCGTAGTTAATACATTAGTAATTTCTTGCAATTTTCAGGAACATAAAATCGTCACTTTGACACAGGTTTGCCAATATTATTCTAAGACTTCCTATAGTTCAAGCCTTGAACTAATAGGTAAGAAAAATAATATTCTCACCTTTCCCTGAGCTCTAGCCCAAAATAAATGACAGAAATGAATTGCAAACATAACATGAAGCATTGTTGTAATTAATCCACCCAGAGCCCAAGGGAGGAATCATTTCTATTTTTAAATACACTGTTGCTTTAAGGGAAAACCAGTGGAGAAATATGAAACCAAGCTACATAATGAAAATCAAAACGCACTGGTGTCTCCATCCTTGCAAAGACAGTAATCCTAACCTACAAGCTGCACCACTGGACAGACTGCACTCAAGTTTTCTGTAAACTGAGTGACCAGTACCGAGGCAGAATCCCACAAAAAGGGTCCATCCACCAAAGAATCTGATCTGTCAGGGGGACAAAACAAGAGAACTCCCATGTTTCAATGCTATTTTTAACAATTTCAGATAAGGAGCTATTCTAATAAGCCAGCAGATGGATAATTCCCCAAGTCACCCTACAAATCTTTACTTAAAAGATCCCCATTCGTAATTGCAGTGGTGTCCCTAAAAATGATCAACTAATTATTAAGCATTTCTAACCACCTGTCTACAGTTATTTCTATCCAGGTTCCACAAAATTAAATGTTTCTCTCCACAAATTAGCTTCATTTCATTAAACGGTAACTAACCTTAGCACTCCCAATGGTTAAGAGTGACAAGGATCAGGTGCTAAACCAGCAAGAAAAACAGAAGCGGCAGCTACATTAACGGGAGCTAATATTCTACCTGTTTCCCAGACTGCTCTCAAGAACCTGACCCAGCAGAATTTGCAGAGAAAACAATAAAAAAATACCCAGTTCCAGAAAAAATGTTGATGATGTGAACATCTAATCCAACCCCTAAATACTGAAATTTACTCAGTTCACTATCACCATGAAATACACAACTATACCACTACAAATGTATCTAAAATACTATAAATCTTTACAATGTATCTAAAGATATTATCCAAGGATACATCTATTACTGAAAAGCAAGTAATGCATTTTAAGTATAACTTTAGCTATCTACTATCACCAGGACTATCTGCTATAGGGAGCAGAATGTTTGCAAACTGAACAAAAATTTCCAGCCTCAGCACCAAAAGCAAATAACTCCCAATCTTACCTCCTGACAACGTCTTCCCTGAAATTTAGCAAAATTGTGACTGAACACCACATGATTATAGAATAGAGGCAGCTGCTTCCTTTAGCAATAAAATAACAAACCCTACTTCAGCCTCTATTCAGTGAAAAAATCTCCCAAGAGCAAAAAAATCACTAAATTGTACTACATCAATCAACAGGTGACTTTTAGAAACACACTCATACTCATGTCCCAGAGGAATTAATTCTGTCAGATCTCCCGGGTTTGGGTTTTTTTTTTTTTTTTTTTTTTTTTTTTTTTTACAAGCTACTGCATTGCTATACTGAATGAATTCCAACCGTTTTCTTCTCGGGGGGGCTTACCAGAAAAATGCCAAATATTCAAATTATTTTAAGGCATTTTCCCATACTGCTGCGTGGAATAGAGCAGAATTAATAAGGATCCAAGAGTTACCACTTTTCAAATGCAAATATGTTGCCATCTAGTAAATGCAGCCCCTTTTTAAACATCCCCCCAGGGTCTACACAGCTCAGGGCACCACTTTTGTTTCCTTGAAAATCAAAATTCGCGCATTACATTCAGGCATTATCTCGACCCAGCACCAACAAAATAATAATTTTAAATGGTCCACGCCTGAGCCTGCATCATACAATACTGTTCTGCTTTATTATGGGGGGTCCCCCCCCTTTTCCACGCAAAGTCCCTAACAATTCCGCCAAATAAAGCGAACTGTGCAGCGGTAGAAAAAAAAAAAACGAAGGGCACTGGGTTCCACTAAAACAAGGCCTTGCGATCATCCCTTGCCCGCCTCAGGCCTCAGTTTTCTAATCTGTAAAATGTGGAACTAGTCGTCTCTGGGATCGCATCCGGCCCCCTCTCTCCGGGTGCCCCGAAGCTGGCCAGGGACGCGGCGGGCTGGTGCCGGCTCGGAAGCCGCTCGGGATGGGAGGGGACAAGGAGGGGGCAGCGGGAGGAGAGGAACTTGGACTTGCAGCCGCTTCAGACAGGAGCGTGCGACAAACTTGAAGCCGTCCTCCTAACAATAGGGACGAGCACTCCCATTTTCCGGGCTCGAACTTGCAGGGGACTGCGGGGTGGGAGCCGCCCGCCCGCCCGCCCTCTCGGCGCCCGCTGTACCTTTCTCCCTGTTTGGTGTTAGAAGGAGGAGGGTGCAGGACCGTTTGGTTCCCTTCCATCTCCACCACGCACTTGGTGTTCAGCTCCAGTTCTGGAAGCAGAAGGGAAGAGGGCCGCTGCCGCGCCGAGCATCCGCGCCGCCGGCCCCCTGGGCGCGGGGCTCCCCCGGGGGGCGGCCGAGCCGGGGCGCCGGGGGCTCCGCGGCCAGTGCGCCGCCGCCCGCGCCCCGGCCCCGCCGCCCCCGCCGCCCCCGCCGCGCTCTCGCCGCCCCCGCCCCGCGGCCCGCACTTTGCAAAGTTGCCCCCGCCCTCGGCCCGACCCCAGATGGAAAAAAACGAGCGGAGAGCTCCTCACCTCGCCGGTTCATGGGCCGGACCCGGACGGCAACTTTTACCTTGGTATCCGACATGTTGGCGGCGCCCGCTCGGCCCGAGGCGGCCCCTCACGCGCCGCGCCGCCGCCGCCGCAGCCGCGCGCCCCCCGAGCGCGGCCGCCGCCGCTCCGCCGTGTGCTCCGCGAGGCAGCGCCGAGGCGCGCGGGCCATCCCGGGGGAGCGCGACGCGGGGCACGGCCGGGCCCGGGGAGGGGCGGGCGCGCGGGGCGGGGCGCGGCGGCGGCGGCGGCGGCGCGGGCGGGAGGAGGCCGCGCCGCCGGGCCCAGGCGCCGCTCTAGCCGCGCCGGCCGAGCGGAGCGCGGCGCGCCGCGGCCCCTCGCACCCGCCCCGGGATGGCCCGCGCCGCCATCTTCCGCGCCCCGCCCGCCGGGCCCCCGGGACGCGGGGAAGGCCGGCGCCCGGAGCCGGCGGGGAGCCCGGGCGGGAAGGGCGAGCGGCGCGGGGCCTTGGGCCGTGGGGGCCGGACGCCTGGCTGGGGGGGGCCGGGCCGAGGCTGCGGCGTGCCCGCCCGCGGGGAGCCCGGGGGCGCCGCCTGGAACGGAGTCCCCCAGCGGGGCCGCTGTCACCCGCAGACCCGGCGCCCTTGGGCGTGCCGGGTGGGCAGGCCTTACCCACGGAACGGAATACGCCTGGACCGAAATGCCAGCACGCCGCCCCCTCCGCCCGCCCCACACCGGCGAGCAGCGGGCTTTTCAGATGGATATGGGGGACCGACCCAGGCTGGAAACAAATCTGTGCGTCCGCCACCGGCACAGTGTGTGTTTCTCAACAACTGCTCTCGCTCCCCTTCCCTTCCCCGCCACTTCTGTGCGAGAGACGTCAAGCAGGCTGGGAGGGTCACTCGCTCTTACATAAGAATGCAAGAGCAATGGATTCTGTCCTCCTGCCCAACGCAGACCTCGCGGCCAGGGCGGAACTGGGTGAATCCGAGTTGCTTACTCTGTTCGGTTCAACAAGTGCTTATCGGGAGCTTACTGTGTGCCAGGCATTTTGAAGGGTACGCAAGTTTAAAATTCAGAGTTGGAGTCTGGGGGACGTATTTCGATTTTGCTTAAATGTGGAAATTCAGTCATTCATAAGTTCATTCAGAGTCGGATTGGGGGCCTGCTGTGTGCAGGGTGCTGTAAAAGGTACACGCGGACGTGCATGAAGTTAAGGGTCCTGTACCCCAGACTCACATTCTGTGGTCGGGAAAAATAGCACGGGAGTCAGGTCTAATGCCACTGTGTGGGCAGGTGGTGTGACCGAGGTTCAACTCGGTCTCCAGCAGGTGCCAAGCTGTGGGCTTGCCTTTAAAAAAATGCTCCTCCTTACTTCTGTCTGTTCCAGAGTCCACTAAGCTCACCTCTGAAATGCTTGTGGCACCTTTTTTCTTTTCCTTTACCTACTAGTGAAAACCTACTTTGTCCACACATTTGTCTATCCAACAAATGTGTCCCGAGGATCGACTGTGTGACAGACACTGTTCTAGGCTCTCGGAATATAATGCTGAAAAAAAGAGGCAAGATTAACAACCTTCTGGGGCTAACCTGCCAGTTCTGTGCCTTTCTCCTCACCTTCCAGCTACTCAGGGATTTTCTTAACTTCCTGGTTTTACTGTCTATCTATTACTATCTCCTTAAATCTAACTTCCAGACTGATTTTTTTTTCCTAATTTAAATTGTATCCTTTGATCATGCATGCTATTCCATTGCTCAAAAACAAATAAACAAACCCTCCTGGTCATCCAGTACCCTACTTAAGATTACCTTGCCTGTTCCTGAAGTCCTTCATGTCACCCAGTACCTTTTCACAAGCAAGATTCCATCCCCATGCTAAGGCATTGTTCTGTGGTTTCCATCAGCGTGCATTATAGAGGGTTGAATTATGCCTCCCAAAGATACACTCAAGCCCTAACCCCTGGTATCTGTGCATATGACCTTATTTGGAAACAGGGGCTTTGCAGGCATAATCAGGTTAAAATGAGGTCATACTGGGATGAGCCTTAAATCCAATGGCTGGTATCTTTGTAACAGAAAGAACCAGGAGATTTAAAACCCCACACACGGAGATGGCTGTGTGAAGATGGAGGCAGAGATCAGAGTGATGGGAGCCACAAGCCAAGGAATGCCAAGAATCTCCAAAAGCTCTGAGAAGCTAAAAAGATGCAAGGAAGGATGCTTTCCTAGAGCCTTTGGAGAGAGCACAGCTCTTCCAACACCTTGATTTTGGTCTTATAGCTTCCAAAACTGTGAGAGAACAAATTTCCGTTGTTTTAAACCACACAGTTTATGGTAATTTGTTACAGCAGCCCTATGAAAGGAATAGAGGGATGAGTGTTTCTTTCCCTCTCCCCCAAACCCTTCTTATTTTAGGTCCCCCCTCCCCACATCTTAATTCTCTGCTGTATCATGAAAGCCTCGAATGCCTACTAAGAAGTTTCAACTCCAGGGGTGCCTGGGTGGCTCAGTTAAGCGTTTGCCTTTGGTTTAGGTCATGATTTCAGGGTCCCGGGATCAAACCCCATGTTGGGCTCAGTGGGGAGTCTGCTCAGCAGGGATTCTGTTTCTCCCTCTCCCTCTGCCCATCCCCCTTCCTCCCCCCTCACCCCTGCTCTCTCTCAGTCTCAAATAAATATATAAAATCTTTATTTTAAAAAAGTTTCAATTCTATTCTAAAGGCAGGGGGAATTGACTGAAGGTTTTGGTTTGGAAGCTGGGGACTGACAGGTTCAGGGCATCCTGAGGAATGACTCAGAGGGCTGTTGCGGTCATCTCAATGACAGGTGGCAACGGCTAGAACAAAGCCAGTGACAGTGCAGGGGGTGTTGGGGGGGCGGAGAAGAGGAACAGATGCAGGGCATATTGTCGACTAGAGTGGAATGAATGACTTAGCAATCGATGGGATGTGAGGACTGGGGGAGGCAAAAGAGTTGTTGATGACTGGGGAAAGGTCTAGAAAAATAATGGCCCAGAACCCACCACAAATGGATGAGAAGAAGTCTTAAGGCGAGAGGGGGAATGATTAACAAGGTGCCGCTAGTTAAACAGCTTTCGGTGGCTCTTTGCTGAGTGGTTGTTCCTTCTGCTTTCCCTTCCCTACCCTCTCCAACTTTAAATGTCCAGATTAGTCCTCACCTCTTATAAGAAGGGTTTACTAAACATTTGTTCTCCAAAAGAGTCCAGCCTTAATTCACTTGGAATCATATATTTTCAGAGTGAGAAAGTGCCTTTTTGGAGTCTTCTAGACCCTTCTACAACATCCCCTAAAATGGTCATCCCTCTGCTTGAGTGTGTTGGTGGCAGAGTGCTCACTATCAGGTGACTCTGTTCTATCTAACATCACATAGTTAGAGAAGATCTCTGTGAAGAATCAAATTTGCCTCTCCGTGAATCCCAGCCGTTGACATGAGTGCTGTCTCCTAGAGCTTCACACTCTGAGTCAAACTCCTGTCATAGGCGGCAGCCCCTCGGACACTTGAAGTTGGGGGGAGCTCACGTCCACATGAAGGCTTCCGTTCCTCTGAGTGCGCTGTTCTGATGACCGCTGTTGTGTAACACAGCCTCCCCCAATCTAGCAATGGCGCTTGCAACAATTTGAGAAGGGCTCACCTGGGCAGTTCCGTTTCTGGTTCTATCACGAGACTGTAGTCATATGGTAGCTAGAGCGGGAACCGTGAGGGGGCAGGAACAGCTGGAACAGGTCAGGCTTTGCTCTGTCTCTAAGCGGTCTCAAGGCTCTGTCTCTATATGGTCTTTCCGCATGGGTAGGCGTGAGCTTGCTCACAGCGTGGCGGCTAGTTTCCAGGAGGGAGCATTTCGAGAGTACCAGCACGTGCTGTCAGCTCTTAGGACCCTACCTTAGAAGTCCTCCGGTGTCACTTCTGCCGTAGTCACACAGCACTCCCAAATCCAAGGGCAGGACTATCTTTCCCTTATCTCAATGAGCGAAATGTCAAAGTTAGTATTTTAAGAACATCACGTGGGGGGGGGGGGGGTGATACTTGCAGCCCTTACGGAAAATGCAATCTGTCTAGTAACACCTTCTCTCGACTGTCCTTCTGGCCACCCTCCTCTGAAAGTGTGTTGGAATAAAATGAGGCTTAGGAATAAGATGGGCTGTGTTCGAATATTGTCTCACTCACGTGGAGCCTGGAACAAGCTGTTTAATCCCCCACTAATCTTCAATAGGTTCACGCATGAGTGGGGAATCTGAACTCCTACCCCACAGGACATAGTAGATGCCTTTTTGAGTAAAATGCCTGACGAGCAATGTTCCGCCTTTCCAGTTCCTTCTCCCCCTACGCCTCTCCCCTTGGCTCCTAGGCTTCCGCTGCCGGGTTTGTACTGTAGAACCCCACCTGCCTGGTACAGTTCACTGGACCCTAAGTATTCCTGGCTATTCCTGCCATGGCCTGAGTCCATCATCTTTCCCCTACAGATTTGGGGTTGGATTTCAAGGGTGTGACCTTTGGAATTGGACTGTCTGGTTGGAATTCTGAGCCTTCCCTTTCTGAGCAGGAAAATATGTACTAACTTTCTGCGTCCTCGGTTTCCTTGCTTGTAAACTAGAATGATGGTGATTGATGTGATGATAGGAAAAGTACCTACTTCATAGAATTGTTATGAGGATAAAACGAGTTAACACCTGTGATGTTCTCATCACAGCATTGAGTGGAAGCTGGCCCCTCCGAGCAGTCAACCTGCATTTTTCATAGTTATAGGTAGACCAGAACTCTACTCTGAAGGAGAATAATCATGAGGCCGTTGTGCAGGACACTTAGGGAAGAGAGACCCATTGAGGTTTCTGAAACCTTCTAGGCTCTATCAAGGCTGAGCTACATTTCTGCTCCTAGATCCTCCAGTAAGGGTAGAATTAACCTGGGAAAAGCACCCATGTGACTGAGAAGACAAGAAGATTCTCAATGAACGTAGCTAAGCCATTCTGTCAGCATGGCGAATGTCAATAAATTACACAAAATAAGGCTGACATCGCCCTCCATCCATAAGTCCCTTTGGAAGGGGAGTATTTACAGTTGGAGACACAGATGATA